CGGAGTGCACACAGCCTGGCCACAGCACCACTGAGTCAAGGCAGACACCCAGGGAGCCATGCACAGCTCCACTAAGCTGCTTCCAGCTCTCTTTTTATACATGTTTGGACAGTAAAAAGTTATATTTTACAGTTTTAACCGGATCGGTCATTTACTGCTCCTCTCTGTGTCACCATCATTCGTGCAGTGCACTGCCAACTGAATCGAGCCAAATCGAGTACGCCCTGCCATCTCCTCTGGCTCTCCATACATTGTCTAAGTTAACAAATTCAGTTTTTGACCAGTTGGAGTTGATGACAATGTTTTGGTATGTTCGTGTGTGTCAGCGCGAGAGTAAGAGAGCGAGCCAGACGGGCTGATGAATGTGCTCGCTGCTTTGAATAGTTCAAGCAGTCACCTCCCTACCTGATGTTTCCCCAGTTGGAGTGGTGGCAAAGACAATGCTCTTGTTGCTGATCTCCACCTCAGCCTGTGGTGTCTGCAGGGACACTGAGGGCTCAGTGGCCAGTCTGGCCACAGGAAGAATAGGGGTGGCAGCATGAGGGGGTAGTGCTGACAGTGTTCTATCTGATGAGGCTGCAGACACATCCAGAGCCAGGTCCGGACGAATCTGTACCTTAATAAACTAAAACAGAGGTAATGTTCCCATTTAGCTCATATCGCGTTCCCACAATTGAATAGCATTTGCTCCAAAAATGCCAGTGAATCTGTAATGTTCCATACCTTCTGTTGACCGTCACACTGTACATAAACCTGTCCACTCCATGGTAGCAGGGCAGATTTAGTTGCTAGTGAGGGGTTAGGGCTGATCCAAATCTGCAGATGGCACCTTGGTTTACAAAAATAAAGATTAAAATGGGAAAAAGTCCCAAATATATATATATACACACACACACAGTCACATAGATTAACATTTTACCCTCTTCCTGTAAGGTTGCACCCTAGGGAAGATATGATCACAATAAAATAAGAGCTTAGCTGCCGCATACTGTACAAAAACATCATTGTCAGGCTGATGTTGCATTCATAAGAATAAAGGCGCTACATCACTGGCCTTCCAAGATTAATCCATTATTTTCAATGGCAGTTTTCACAACACAGCTTTTACCGAACCATCAATTGTAGTTTTTTCTTACTGAGGCTCAATCACTCCATGCTGAGGCGTGATGGTGAGGCAATGAGCGGGCCAGGACAAATCAAAGCTCAGCTCTCTGGAGGTGTTGTTACAGATCTGAATCTGACTTGTGGTGGCCGCTCCATCTGAAAATGGATATCGTCAAAAATTTAGCTGCTGGCTACTAACAATGTTAGATTCCATTGCAGAGGCACTTAAATGTGGTTTGTAGTTGGTTGCTTCAAACACACCCACAATAGGTTGCAGAAATGCCATGTAGACATCAAAAATGATGAGAAGTTCACACAATTTTGATTCTACTCACTGATGGTAGGAGTTGTAAGGACAAGCTGTTCTGGATGGATGGTCCAGGACTCAGACTTCCTGTGTAATGGATCTGAAGCCTGAGGTAGATAGAAAATCTTCTTTAATTCATCCTTTTGAAAAAGCACTAAGGTAATAGCCACTCAAATCAACATTATTTTATTTAATGAAGAGGATCTCTGTACCTTTAAGGAGAGTTCTGTCACTCTCAGTGCTGGACCCTGGGGACCTTTGACTGGCAGTACATCCAAAGACACACCACCATTTACCAAACTACTGAAAGATATATA